TTTTAACAAGTTTGTTCGGCATGTGCCAAGGTAAAATCTTAGATTGGTTGATTCTAAGTGTGTGTACTTTTTTATGGTGGAGTATGATAATTTTTTACAATGAGAATTATGACTATTTGTGAAGACGATGTTGTGTAGCGAAAACTATGACAATTAGTTTTGTTTAGCCAAGGTGGAGATTGTTGTGCAAATTGCACATGTTGGGTAATTAAAATATTGTTGGATTAGAGCCATTATCAAAGCCCAAGTATGGCCCAAGAAGTGAGTTGACCCAAATACTTTAAATAAGTGGTGAAAATTTAATCAAGTGAAATGTATGGCTATAATAGAGAATTTGTGTGAGAAATTCTCTTGCGTGTAATTATTTTTTTGTGTGAAATTATTCTTTTTGTCTTTGGGTGAGAGAAAGTTTACTGAGAGTATAAGTAATTGTAATCTTTCTCACATAGTGAATTTTCTCGGGTTGTCTTTGGCAACGAGAGTGGTTTTTCTCCAATTTTAGAATTTTCACTTAATTCTTGTGTTGTAAGATTGTGTTCTTAATTCTCTAATTTCTATTTCTCTATATTGTGTGACATTTTTTTTCCTAACATTAATATCCCTACGCAAAACACTTTGATCCCTTTCTTCGTGTAGACACAGCAATGATGAAGCCAAAACCTTGTATAATTTTGTATCTCTTCGTCCATGTCAATAAGCTTTTCCCTTTGAAAAGATGCGAATCCAGGCTTCCATTAGACATGAACTTATAAACCAGTATTAGTTCTTTCTTGTAGGACCAACCGATAAGCTTGACTGTATTTTTGGGCCTCAATCTACCAAAGATTTTAGTTTCTGTTGCATATTCCTCTGTTCCTTGTTTAGAGCGCCTTGAAATCTTCTTCACCACAACATAGATATTCAAGTTTCTCAAGAAGCCTATATAAACTGCTCCAAATCCACTCTCGTCAAGCTTTTCTTCCTCCCCAAAGTTATTTGTTGCACTAGCCAATTCACCATAAGAAAACTTTCTTGGTCCGATTTCATTTTAGGATAATTCATTTCGAAATAACTCATCAAGAACATGATCGTTCTCATACTTTTGCTTCTTCTTCCATCTTAAAATGAACCAAATAAAACATAAGACCACGATAATCACAATGAATGCTCCAATAATTAGACCTACCGTTAGTCCTATCTTCTTTCTTCTGTCCTTTAAGAAAGTAGGAGAAATAAGTGGAGATATACCAAAGTTAATGAAATTTTACACAGCATTCTCTCTTCTTTAGAAAGAAGAAGAAGCATTTCCCCCTAACTAATACAATCCGTCTGGAGCGACAGAGGAGACTACGAAAAGTTGGTCTAGACTATAGCCTCACTCTTGAAAATATAAAGTTTCTTTTTACTTTGTAAATACTGTGTCGATGCTAATAGTCAAAGTTGGAAGAAGTTAATGAAATAAATAAAACGGTTAATTTAATATTTCCCAATTGAACAAATTGAGTGTGCAATAGCCTACTATCAATAGCCATGAAATTAATAACCTGTCTCCTCGCGTTTTAGCTGCACATAAGATCTAAACAAAACAGTTTTAGCTTTTCTAAGCATTTGAATAAAATGATTATGAAGTTTATTAACCACTACAAACAAAATGTATTTAAATAATAATAAAAGATTTAAACAATTGATACTGTTTTTATAATTGGAGTACGAAAAATCTCTTAAACAAAATATTTTGGTATTTTTATACAATTGAAATGCATTTAACTAATAAATTTTATAAAAACTGTATGAAATAAACTCGTCCGACCAGACAAGAGCTTACTTGTCAACATGACAACTGTAATTCATACAAGGGCAAACGAAATGTTTCCACCCAAAGATTAGCGAATGACAAGTTTTTACCACTCGTTTTATTTATTCTAGATTCTCGCTTTTAAATTAATATTGTTGGTGAATCTTAGCTTGGTTTTATTTATTCCAGATTTACACTTTGAATTAATACTGTTAATGAATTTTAGCTTCTAACACAAATGCATAGGGTGTTATCACAATAATGTCATTGACTCTTGATCTCATCGCCACCAAGCCACTATCATCGTCACCATCCAGCCACCGCCACCTTTCAACACCATCCAGCTGCTTCAGAGTCTATTCCGAGAAGGGAGAAGAGGGAAGAAGAAAGGAAAGAGGAAAAGAGGAGGACAAGAAGAAGAATGGGTAGAAGAAAAAGAAGAGGCAACAGTGGTAGGAGGAAGAGGGAAGAAGAACGAAAGGAGTAAAAAAAGAAGAAAAAGAAGAATGAGATGGGACGGTTGTGGTGGTGGTTTGGGATTGGGATTGGTGGGTTCAACGATTATTTTACCTTTTTTACTATAATATAAATAATTTTTTGTTAATTTAAGCGTGATAATTTAGAATAAATGAAACAAGTGCCACTTCACTAATCTTTGGGTGAAAACATGTCGCTCTTTATATAAAGGGAGAACGATTTACACATACCCAAGGTTTGTCGTAACGATAAATTGATATTTAAAAGGTTTTAAAACGATAAATAGGTACCTTCCGTCATGTTCTGTTAGTGATTTCTATTTATTAATAGTAAAAAGATTAAAATACCCTTAAAAGTTTGAATTTTAGTTTTTTATAAATTTAAAAATTTCTAAAAAACCCCCTAGGTTTACAAATTTAACTAAATACCCCAATATATAAAATTTTTGTAAAATAACAAAAACACCCCCACCACCCGCAGTGTCAAATTCTGGCCACCACCGCCGGAATCTGGCCGAAAAGTTTCGTTACGACACAGACCCGTCGGATCTGTGTCATAACGCGTCGATCTGGCTTTTTTCGGCCAGATCCGTGGCTACGGCTAGATCTGGCCGTCGACGTCGCAAAACTCCATCTGCGGTGTCGACGGCTAGATCTGGCCGTAGATCTGACCTTTTCCGGTCAAATCAGCCACGGATCTGGCCGGAAAAGGCTAGATCTGGCTGCTGCTTTAACGACCAGATCTGGCCTTTTCTTGTCAGATCCGTGGCAGATCTGGTCGGAAAAGGCAAGATCGGCACGTTACGACACAAATCCGACGGGTCTGTGTCGTAACGCAACTTTCTGGCCAGATTCCGGCGGTGGTGGCCAGAATCTGGCACTGCGGGTGGCGGGAGTGTTTTTATTATTTTATAAAAATTTTATATATTAGGGTATTTAGTTAAATTTGTAAACTTATAGGGTTTTTAAGAAATTTTTAAATCTATAAAAAATTAAAATTCAAACTTTCAAGGGTATTTTAGTTTTTTCACTATTAATAAACAAAAATCACTAACATGATCGAAGTTATCTATTTATCATTTCAAAACCTTTTGGGTACTATCTTATCGCTATAAGAAACCTCGGTAAAGAAAAGGACGGTTGCGCTAATGAAGCTGCTTAGTCCTATGATACTCTATTTTGCAAAGACGTCGTGACTCGTGATAGTCAAAGGCCGTCAATAAATAAATTGGAAAAATCAATTTGATAGTCAAAGATTGTCAATAAATAAACTGCTTAGTGCATTTAGGAATGTTGTAGTTTAAGACTTAATCACTTAATTTTTAAGCCACTGTAACAAAATTGTTTGATAAACATCTTTTAAAACTGATTACGTTTCAAGCTGTTTAGAAAATAATTAGTTTTATAAAAGGATTTCAAAAGCTAAAATGAGTAACTTTTAAAAATCTAATTATTTCTAAAACTGATTTTGCATGATTTTATTAGTCAAAATAAATGTTAAAATCTAATGGAATCACCAGATTCCAGTAGATTGATAGTTTCCAGTCACTATGGAACTGATTGTGGCTTCAATACGTACTATTGATCGGTGTTGATCACTAGTCAATCACCCCTACCAAATGCATATAAANACGACTTTATTAGTCAAAATAAATGTCAAAATCCAATGGAATCACCAGATTCCAGTAGATCGATAGTTTCCAGTCGCTATGGAACCGGCTGTGGCTTCAATGCATACTATTGACCAGTGTTGATCACTAGTCAACCACCCCTACCAAATATATATATATATATATATATATATTAGTCATTGTACATATAACAATAATTTCAAAATCTAATTTAGCAAACGCATAATTATAAAATTTCAAAAGTCACAACAATTATAAAAGTATCATTTACCAAACACATTCAAAATTATTTTCCAAATTGGGGAAAAAATAATTAAAACTTAAATCTATAGTAATCCTAACTAGCCCTCAAGTCTCATTAGCTTAAATGGGTGATTATGAGTACGAGTATGAGAAAGAGTCATGTTAATATGCCCCTATAATTCTCGAAAAGAGTAATTCACTCCTACAAATTTGTAAACAAAGTTGAATATATAAAGTGACGTAATATTACTTTTAAAGCTTTAATTGATATATAATTTTTCTTTATTTAATGAATAATTTTATATTTTCACTTTTTCAATCATAGTGTGTCACGTCACTTTTATATTAGATTTTGTATATAAATTTTATAAGACTAGTCTTACACAATAGGAATAAGGTTGTAGAAATATAATGATTTTTGAATTTAGTCAATACAGTGGGAATGGATCGATTTCTATTTTTTGTTTTGTTGAATTAATAACGGATTACAAATTTTGATGTTGGGCTAAAGCCGCACCTCTCTATTCATTTGTGGCCCGGTTTGGTCCAAAGCTATCAAACTGCACCTGGTGCTCCACAGAGTCACGGACCACCGTAATAAATAATCACGCCGCAGGAATACCCGTATGTTGGACTGTCGGTACTCCATTGAACTCATCAAAAACCGCATGTCATCAAATCAAGCGGTGCTTAAATCTGACGCAACATGCAAACACCTACACGTCAATCGACAAAGTTACAACTCCCATTTATTTTAAAATTGTTGTGGACATATATCGCGTAGAGAAGTGTAGAAATTGAGGACTAGAGCACACGAGGCAAGCAACATAGCACATCATTGCGTCGTCGTATCAATATAAAGGGTAACACAGCTGTTTCCTTTACCGTGGCATCGAAAGTGCCAAGCGGAGCGACTACGCGTATCATTCAGAGGCATTCTCAGCAAGTTAGCATCACTCCAGTTTAGTTTTGGTGCCTTTTGATTTGACGTGGTGCCTTTTGATCTGAGGTCATTTCAACAATGGAGAGTTTTCCGTTTCACGATGGCAATATCTATAATTCTCTCGATAGCAGACTCACTGACACTCGCCACGTAATTTTTTTCCGCTCTGATCATTTTGATTGTAGTAGTTTCAATCGTTGAATAATTTGGCTCTTTCTTTAATATTTTTTCTGAGTGTGTGTAAGCTTTGATTTAATTTGCACTGTTTTTTATGTTGTTTGGTTTTGTTTGTGCTAAATTTGGATAGTTATTATTATTATTATTTGTGCTGTTCAATCAATTTTTATTTTAGTTAATCGATTGTTTAGATGACGATTTGCTGGAATTATGGTGAAAATGCGTGTGGTTTTGGGTGCTTGAGTTGAACACCTGTTAATTAGCATATATTGATTGTCTCGAAGTGTGAATTGAACATGGACATTCTATTAGGAGTCTAAATTTTGTTGAATTCAGAACCAGAGATTAGGTCATTACACAAAGAAGAAATCGTCTGCGACAATTTTATGTAAATGAAATTGAAAATCGGGTATGGTATGCTATTTGTGAGTTGGCCTGTGATGGCTGTGCTCGAACAAGTGTCTAAACACTTGCAAATGCGTCTAGTACAGTGATTCCATGGTGAGAAGCTCGCTTGGTGTCTTGGTGCCACAGGTACAGATTAATGCCTCCAGCAGCCTCTGTGGTTTTCTCCTTCCTTTTGTTGTGGTACCTTGTAAAGAACTGGTACTTCTCTAGGTGATTAGGTATCTGATTAAGATTTGAGTATTTTGTTATAAATAGAATCATGTATCTCCTTTTAAAATTAGTCTAATAAATAGATCAATGAATTAGGTAAATGTTAAGCACGAACGAGGCCATAATTTGCTATGGTTATCCTGTTTAACTTTCTTGGTATATGAACCTTTAAAATATGGCGTGAAATTAGATAATGATAAACTGTTTTCTATTATGAATATAATTATGCAATTCATTTTGAGTCATAATGGACCTGATAGAGATTCATTTGATGATATTAGAGAGCCTAAGGACAATTTTGTTGATATAATAGTAGGTCTATTAAGTGAATCAGAAGACATTACAGTACTTATTAGTAGAATAGATAAGCTATGAAGAGAATGAAACATAAAAAGAAAAATGATGAATTCATACTTTTTAAAAGTTTTTCGGATAAGCTCTAATGATAAAATTTACCCTTCAACAACTTTACTTTGTTCAGATACTTTTAGACTGAATGTAAGCTCACCCTTCTTTTATCTGCTTCCATATTATTCTCTGTTGCCTTCAATAATGCTTACAATCTTCACTTGTTCGAATAATGGTGAAATTCTTGGCGTTAAACTTATATTTTTATCCGAATTTATTTACTTTTGGCTAGGCTCAAATTAGATTTGTCCAACATATTACTTGTATGGATGAGTGTTTTCCATTCTCATATATCTCTAATGTGTTTCATTGGAGGTTATATTTCACTTTATGCTAGATCTAATAGATTTTTGTTAATTTTTTTTTTTTTTTTTTATGTAGGATGTTAATCATAGTATGCAAATGCACTCGTCAATGCTACGGAGGCTTTCGCAGGAAAGAGAATTGGAGGTTATTCCAGTTATAGTTGTTTAAAATTATCATCTGATGATGGAAAGTTTTTGTTAAATGTATCCATTTTTTGCATTCTTTATTTCCTCCGTTTTCAATAGTCCTTTCCTGTATGTCATCCATGTCATGTTTTGTCGATCATCTTTTCTTTCCCCATCTAGTTATCCAAATTTATAGATATGGGAGGTCCATTAAATCTGGGGATAGCTCTTTATGTAAATTCATCCATATGTGATTATTCTTATAGTTAGTCGTCTTTGAGAATCTATGGCAATCACAACTAGTGGGAGTTAAATTATTCCTATAGTTATTCATCTTTTTGTGCTGAAGAATCACATGATATCTTCTCAAATTTTAGTCTGTATTTAGTAGCTAACTTTGTGACTGCTTATATTTTGTGCCGTTGCTACACATGACAATACTATCTATCCTAGTGAATAATCTTTCATATGCCTCTGGCATCCGTGTCTGGATTATATGGAATGCCTTGTTTAAGAGAGTTTCTTGATCCAGTAACAGTCCTCTTTTTTTACTTCCTACTTCTTGTTTTTCATTTGTTTCAATTAATGACTTAAGTTTATTTTCCCTCCTCTCTGAACAGGGGCATCAGGGTTGTGTGAATGCCATTTCTTGGAATTCCACAGGTTCACTTCTGATATCTGGGTCAGATGACACACGGGTAAGGATGTCCTCTTTTGGCCTTTTTGATTTAATGTCAAATGACATAATGTTGGTAGCATGAAAAGAGCTGAAGTGTAGGTATAAATATAGTTTTACTTTTTTATTACATATTCCACACACAAGGGCACAAGCACATGCATAATTCATATGTTTTGGCATTTAATTATTGATGCTTCAATTTCCTCAGATCAACATTTGGAGCTATTCTAGTCGAAAGCTTTTGCATTCCATAGAGACTGGGCATTCTGCAAACATATTCTGTACAAAATTTGTCCCTGAAACTTCTGATGAACTTGTGGTTTCTGGGGCTGGAGATGCAGAAGTAATGTGTTGATTTATAAAACTTTGTGGTGGTTGCAACTAGTGCTTTTGTTAGGGGAGGGAGAAAAAGAAAGAAAAAAAAAAAGAAAAATGTTGTTAAGTTGCACTTACTGATATTCTTGCAGGTTCGGCTGTTCAATCTTTCTCGATTTAGTGGGAGAGGCCCTGATGAAAATGCTATTCCTCCATCAGCTCTGTATCATTGTCACACCAGAAGAGTAAAAAAAATAGCAGTAAGATACAAAATATGTATATAGATCAGTATGTCTTCTTTCTTTTGCTTCTCTCAAATTCTACATGCCTTTCGTTGCAGGTTGAAGTTGGAAACCCACATGTGGTTTGGAGTGCAAGTGAAGATGGGACTTTGAGACAGCATGATTTTCGGGAGGGTGCTTCTTGTCCTCCTGCTGGATCTTCTCATCAAGAATGTCGTAATGTTCTGGTTCGTACTATATTATGGTTGTAATTTTTCATGCATGTTCATTATGTTTTTCTCAACATGTTTGTAAAATCTTGAACATCTTTTTGCCAGCTTGATTTACGTTGTGGGGCAAAGAGGTCTCTAGTTGATCCCCCTAAACAAACTCTCGCTTTGAAGTCTTGTGATATTAGTTCCACTAGGCCTCATTTACTCCTGGTTGGTGGGAGGTATGTGGCTGGTAACCCGTGTTCCTTGATTTAGTTTTTATTTTTTAGAAAGATTGATAACAACTTCTTTTCACAACTAACTTCTTACCTGTGAATGTTGCAGCGATGCATTTGCTCGTTTATATGATAGAAGGATGCTTACTCCATTGACTTCTTGTCGAAAAAGAATGTCACCACCACCTTGCATTAACTATTTCTGCCCAATGCATCTTTCTGAACATGTTAGTTCATAACTTCTTGTTACCTTCATTATTGTTTATTGTTTTTTAATCAGTCATTATCTTTTATGCAGTTTTTTGTTGAAAATTTAAAAGCGGGATGCATGTTTTGAGATTTTCCATTGAAGCAGTACGATATATATTTTTGAACTTTTGTAATTTTATGTACATATGCTATAAGAGAGTACTGGATATGCACAGCAGCTGATAATCTCTTCTATTTCACTGTTGCTGCTTCTTTTTCTAAACTTTGCTTCATTCTGTCATGCTCATCATCAGCTTATGTATATTTTAGATTTTCCTTAAAACTGTCTTTGCCATCAACTGGAAGAAATGATTGTCCAACTTGATCATTGGATGTTTATAACTGTGTTCTGGATGTATTAGTTGCCACAGACAAGTTAGGTGTTTTATTTCTTTATTTAAATTTATGATTTATAAATATCTTGTTAATAGCCTAGTTCTATTAATTATAATTTGTCATTATTATTTTTCATGAGTTTTAGATGAAAATTATAGACACCGTTGGATGAAAATGTTGTCAGAAGTTTAAACATTGCATCCTTTCATGCTTATGACATTTGAAGCTCCACCCTAAGTCATGTTACATTCATTACCATAGAGAAAACATTTTTGCAAGTATATTTAGTAACTTAAAGAAAACAATTGGTTAGATTTTTTGTCGTTATTGTTTGCTTTGTAAACAAGAATGTTCCTGTCTTTTTGTGGTTTGGTTTTCTTAGACTATCTTCTAATGATATTTTTATTATATTGGTCCCAATGTTGTTTCTTCTTTTTCAGGGTCGTTCTAACTTGCACCTGACACATGTTACTTTTAGTCCAAATGGAGAAGAGGTTCTCCTCAGTTATAGCGGAGAGCATGTATATCTTATGGATGTAAACCAGGGTATGTTTAATCTTGCTGGGACATTGCTTTTCAGGACAAAAATGATCCAATTCAGATGCTCATTCCTTTTATCTTCTTTTAAGAGATACTTAACTTGGCTTTATGTTATGCAATTTGAAATTCTTTCATTGTGTATGAGTTGAAACATTGCAATGGTGGGGGAACAGAAGTAGAAATTTGATAAACAGTTCTCGATGCTACTCCACTTCATTGCAGGAGTGTAACATAGGTGTTAGGCTGAGAGCCTGAAATCATTTGATAAGTCAATTCTGGCTTTTCTATTAGAGCATATCTATGATTTTTACAAAAGCATTTATAAATCTATAATTCTTTTGGAGAAGCTTCGAAAAACATAAACGCGATTTAGGATGGTAGGATCGGAAAGGATTCTCTGTTGTTATTATTCTGTAGGTTGAGAATGCGATCCTATATTATAATTTTACATAAGCATGATGCTTGTAAAGATTACCATTAATGAACCTTTTTGCCGAGAAGGTTTCCTTTTTTTTTTTTTTTTTTAAGTTTACATGCTTGGGCGATTTCTTGATTCGGTGAAAGCTTCATCAGATGATAGTCTTTAACTTTCTATATAACATCACAGCTTGTGGGAGTGCTATGCGATATACTGCAGGAGATGCTTCAAAAATGATGAGTTTCATGCCTGTACTTGACAGGGTTGAATTGCATCCATCAGTATCTGATGTTCCCTGCAATGGTCTTGCTGCCAGGGTATACTTCTGTGCTTATCCTGTTATTTCTTTAATATCATTGTTTCTCAGATTTGAGTAATTTGATAACTAATGGGAATAAATCATGGATGTTATTATTTCTTTGTGTGTATGCGTTGGCTAGTCTAATGCAGTTGTTACAGCTTGAAAAGTGCAGGATGTTAATTGAAATTGCTGGAAATTACTTAGAGGAAGGGGCTAATCCTTTCTATGGAGTTGAGGCATGCAATGAAGTTTTGGAAGGGCATGGTAGTGAAATTGGATCCATACTGAGGCATGAATGTCTTTGCACGCGTGCTGCCTTATTGCTTAAGGTCCTTTAAATATTGTTTTTAAGTTAAATGTATGTAATCTCTTTCTTTTGATTGAAATGTGTTTTTTAACAAGTCATTAGCTACTTCTTTGCAGCGAAAGTGGAAAAATGATGCCTATATTGCCATAAGAGATTGCTACAACGCTCGAAGAATTGATAATGCTTCCTTTGGAGCTCATTACTATATGTCTGAAGCTCTAGAGCAGGTAATCCATAGTTCTAATTGCTGTTGAGTTTATATCTGTTATTGACCTGCAATGCTATTTGTTACCTTGATGAATCTGACTGATTGAGTTGCCACGTGCCTAAGATGTGGTCTCGGCATTCCAGATTACCCACAGCATATTAAGTTGTCATTATGGACCACAGTTCCTGTAATTGCTTTTTTACCGGTTATATAAGCTATAACTTTTAAGGTTGATTGTCTGGTTAAATACCATGGTGCACTTAGTGTATCAAGAATGGGGTATGGACCAAACAGTCAATTGGTTTTACTTAGATTTGGATCACTGATTGACATTGCATGTGCATTTTTTTTTCCTGGAGAAACATTATGTATTAGGAGTATTGTGGATTTAATATGTCAGTTGCGGTTTGAGTTAAGCTCAGCAAAACACTCATCCAATGATCAAATGTTTCAGATATCACTCACAAAACCCTTTCATTTTTATGAAGGTGTAATAATATCTTGTTATCTTGTATTGGAATTTGATGCAATTGAAGCTGTCACTGTCTTTCTTTTACTTATGTTGCCGCTTCCTAATTGTTAGTTTAGTTTTTTGCAGTTGTCCAAATATAAACAAGCTTTAGAATTTGCTCTTGCCGCCCAATGTCTGGATCCATCCAATTCCAGTGTGGCAGAAAAGGTGGAGAACTTAAAGAAGCAAATTGCTGCAGGTATGTGGCCATTCAATGTCATGTTAATTCTTGTTTTGTCCAATCTATTAATTTATAGCCTATCTTGTTACATAAGATAGTCTCATTCAATTTTCCAGAGAGAAACATAAAAATAAAGGGAACAGCTTATCAATATTCTTGTGTTGCTTCATCCTCCTCTTTCTTCGGTGGCATGAATAGAATATAATGCGAATGGCTTAATATTCAAGTAATCTGTTGCGAACCTACCCAGATTTCTTACTCAATCACACACACAAACACTAACACTAGATGTATTCCACAGTTCAATATAATCACCCAGTAACATTCAGAATCACAGAGTATGTATTGTATTGAGAAGTTCAGAATTACACTCAACTATGGACTATATCTCAACCTCAGATCTACAAGAATTCAAATAACAAAACAATGGAAACAATGGAAACTGATATGCTGGACTTCGAGGGCCAGCTACCTCCCCTTTTACTAACTTCTTTCTCGATTCCCTTTTTCATCCTCTGCTGCTCCTTTTATTCATTTCTTCCCTTAACAGAATTTAACCCTCCACCACTTATCTTTTGCCACCTGTCCACTCTACCTTTTTCTTCACTTCACACTCTTCACACTTTAGTTGCTTCCTTTATCACGGTTGATCCCCTGGTGCTTCTTCCCACGCTTCCTGTTATACACCAGCACTTCGCGTGTTGTATCATAATCATACTTGTCAAATGCTAGGTTACTGGTTGATGATTTATTTTGTAGAGTTTTAGCTCTTTTATGTATCTAATTGTATTGTTTGATGACTAGCTGAATCGGCAAAAAATAAAAAGGCAAATGATGGCGCGGCAAGGCCTGAACCTCGATCTGGAAGAGTACTCTCATTGAGTGATATACTCTACCGGTCAGAGGTTAATAGTGATGCTTCTCAAGATGGTCCAAGGTCTGAAAGAGAAGATTCTGATTATGATGAAGAATTGGAGGTGGACTTTGAAACATCAATATCAGGTGATGAAGGTCGTGATGTTGAATCCAATGTTCTACATGGAAGTTTGAATCTGAGAATCCATCGAAGAGGTGATGCCTCTAAAGAAATTGGTGGAAATGGTTCCTGTGGTTCACCTGCCTCATCATCTCAAAATGATTGGACGCCTTACGAGGTGCTTATTCAATGTTTTGAAGTATTGAAATATTTGCACATGTCATTACTTCAGATATTTTAGGAATAGCACTTTTTCCTTGATCAATATAAAACCACTTTCGGCGTTCAATACTACATTTAGGTCTCCATTGTATTAACTAACTAATAATCCATAATTAACTGGCATGCATTTAGATACTTATGTGTGTTTATGGGTTTCCTGATTTATGTGTTAGTATGTTTGTATTAGATGCAAATGATAAATCCTTAAACTAAAATTCAGCTTCACATGGACACTATTGGAGATTAATGCTGCTTCAATTATTCCTTATATTGAAGTTTTTGTTATTGTTTTTTGGTCATGCTACTTGCTACTTTAATTATAGAAACTTGATTATAACTTCAACCAGGACTCCTTTATTTCTGTTTGTTCATATTGAGTACACCTTTTCTTTTGCTTATCCATCCTTTTGTTTCCAATGCAGCCTGAGGCAGTTATTGATATGAAACGTAGATTTGTTGGCCACTGTAATGTTGGAACTGACATTAAGCAAGCCAGTTTTCTTGGTCAACGAGGTAATTTCTTTTAGTTCTTGTTACTTGATGTTGGGATTTTACTCATAGATCCACTTAGGTGATATGTCATATTGGTCCACAGGTGACTATGTTGCAAGCGGGAGTGATGATGGTAGATGGTTTATTTGGGAAAAGCGAACTGGCAGATTGATTAAAATGCTTGTTGGAGATGATGCTGGTAATATTTTACCTGTATGGCAGAGTGGTTTCCAGGTTATAATTTGGATAATCTTCTTCAGTTTCTAAGATCTCTTCTTGTCTATCCACAGTTGTGAACTGCGTGCAGTGCCATCCCTTTGATTCTGTTGTGGCAACCAGTGGAATTGATAGCACAATAAAGGTGAGTGTGATCTTGAATTGAGTGCTGCATTGGATTTTTATTAACTCTTTCTGTGTTGGGTTTAGATATGGACTCCTACTGCTTCTGTTCCCTCAATTGTTGCTGGAGGAGCGGCGGGACCTGAAACGGCTGATGTATTGGAAGCCATGGAGAGCAATCAACGAAAATTATGTCGTAGTCGTGAAGCTATCCTGTAAGACTTGTGAAATTCTTAGTTCTAGAAGAATATGGACTATATGCAAATCATTGTGTAACAGGACTATACTGAGCCTTGACCCATTGATATTATTTGTGTTTATGAAATGAATCCAGTTAAGTGATTAGATCAAGTTTTCTGAGAATTTCATCTGAAAATTATTTTTCTTGCGGATCTTGTGGGATCTAGAATATTCTTTTGAAAAATTTTCTGTGGTTCTCAATCAACTTGATTTCCCAAATTCAGTGCACTCGGAGGCTGACTTTATCAATGGCACTAAATCTAGAGACTTGAGCTTATTTAGTGAATGTTGCTGATTGGTAGTAGTGTTGACATGATCAATATATTAGTGGAACTAAAAAGTTTTACTGGTTTAGAAGTTCGATATAATCAAATTAATACTGAGGAAAGTGAACATTTGACAGATCTCTTTTTCCAGTGTTATGCTAATTAAATCACATTTTTTATCTTTTAAACTAATTTATTTACAAGGATCAATGATGCTATTTTTCAGGCCCTATGAACTTCTTGAACGGTTTCGAATGCATGAATTTTCTGAAGGATCCCTGCATCCATTTGAGTGTGCTCAGAGCTAATCAATCAAGTGCATAGTCCAGTGGCCGGCAGGTAAGTAAACTGTATATGTGAAGGAATTCTTTTGATTCATGCTCTGTTGACAATTTGCCAGTTATGCTTACAGTTCCTGAAAAGAGACTACTTTATGTTATATGAGAAGTTGACATTCAAGGTTTGACTTGTTTCCTTGCACTTGTAAGGTTTTAATGCAAAATTTATATTCCAAGACTAAATGTTGCAATAGAGATGAGTGTACAGATAGAAACCATCGAAGTAATACATTGTTATGATAAGCACAAAGAGGATCTACTTTGTTATATTCATGATGTCGTTTCCCAGCTTTCTTTTCCTGTATTCCCTTGTCTTTCATTGTTATAACTTATCCAGTTGGTACATGAATTTAATTTTGCCATATCAGACCTGAAGGATGCTGGATTTACTAGAAGAAACTTATTTTCTTTAGATAACCAACTAAGGGCAAACTTTGGAATTAGATGATGTGCTCTAGTTCAGCCTTTAATTCTAGACTGTGCCCAGTGTCTTCTTAAATTTGGGGAATTCTGCGATCTTGATCACTTTATATAGAGTCTAGTGTAGTAAAGTTTTGTGGCTGCAGCATTGCATTTGACTGTTGGAAACTGAAGCCTTCCCTTTGTCAAGATGATTTAAGTTGTTAGTTTCGCACATCAAATTGTTGATAGCTGCTTTTGGATGACTACAGCCATAAAAGCATCTGAATAAGAAATTTGATTTCTATGAATATCTGATCCCTCTTGTCGCATTACAGGTCTCATAGTTTGAGCCATAACTGAAGCTATGGATCACTGGCTATGTGAATTTCAGCGAAGGAGGTACAGGCAAATAATTAGTCATGGCTGTAAGATGCTACCCTGTAAAGGCATTTGGGTTCTAAAAAAATTGTTGTAAATTGAATAAAGCACAGCCTGAGCCCCTAAGTTTACTATAAATCTTCTTGATTAATTTTGTGATATATTTGTCTTTCATTTGTTTTTTCCTGTCTTCTTTTTCTTTTTGGGTGATTTGTTATGTATACTGTATAGTTGAAAATATCACTGTATATTTTAGGATTGATTTCATTCGAGTGTACGTGTTAATATTTTCACTTGTTGCGCTGTTACCTGCATCGTACTGTCTTATTACTGGCATATCATCTTGTTGGATTCATCTCTGAGTCATTTTGAATATATATTAATGTTTCAGATACCTGAAATCCCGTCGGCTTTAATAAATTCGTGGCTGTTTAGTGTTTGGAAGACTGAATTGAATATATGCCATATATATTACTGGCCATCATTGTTAGAGCATAGTTGTTTTTCCTCTTCTTTGGGTTGTAGTTTTATAATTTGATAGTGGTCAGATTATTTGAATCTTATGAACTGCTGTAAAGGCGTTCCTCCCCGAGAATATGCAGTCGCAAGAATCGCGATTGGTTTGCTTTCCTTTCTGCGCAACGTGCTTTTTCTGTAACCTTTTATATTAAATTAACCGAGTGGAGATAACCTATTCATGTTATTGATACACAAGATTATTATTATTATATATATATATATATGTGCAGTGCCAGTGAGTAGAAAATACCAAGTGGATCATGATGTTGTGGTGTTGACTAGTAACGTTAGTCAATTTGGAAAGGGCCTTATTTAGAGGGGTTTTAGTGTTTTTAAATGGAAAATATTCATTTGTATAAATGACGCTGTCGGCCAAACCTGAATATTATAATGTGGAAATTGAAACTTGTTTAATAATAAGATGGCCTGCATTCCTGGACTATATTAAAGAAAATAGATATATACATTTATCTTGAAAAATGAATTCATCTTTGGCAAGCTGGCAGATACATTAATGATAAATTGTGCACTCTAATGGGCTGAAGAAAGATTGGACGGCAGAAACTTAAATTAGATTAGAAAGTAGAATAGTAGATAAACCATTGCTGTAGTGTTTACTATAAGCATTTATATTAGGAAAGTCATTTCTACAGAGTTTCTTGTTTGCGCCACGTGACCTACAAGTGCCGTTGTTGAGTTGTATGTTACTTATCAGAGAGGAAAGGGAAGGAGGCAGTGGCAAGTCCAGGTGAGGTAAGGGGTGTGATTTGAGTTTGCAAACACGTTATGCACGCACGTATATCCTGTTAAAGTCCGTGTGGTCCAGTTGATGTGACTAGGAATAATAACCCTGTTGCGTGGGAGAAGGTTTGCATCTTCAACGTGGAAGCCGTGTTTTTGTTTCCTTGTTCCATCTTAAATGTTATTTTCTTGACAATTTATTTACGTTTCAGACAGACTTTAATTGTATTGTTGTAGAAGATTGAACGATTTCTATAATAATACAATAGCTATGCATGTGGTTTCGACACAAAATGATCACTTTGATTGAGAATATGGAAACCACGACACGGACCTTTTTAGTGGTAATTCCGTGGCATCTTCTTTTTCTTCCTTTCTTTTCAATTACTTAAATGCTTCTGGAACATTCCTCCTCTTTCGCAATTTCCAAAGTATTATTTTTCAAATATAGGAACCACAAAGCTCAGATTAACCTATGCTCACTATCAGATTAACATATATATGATTTGAAAATTATCAATTCTCTTTCACAAATGAGATTTTCTTCTACAAAGGAAAATAAATTAAAATTAGGCAGTGGATGGATGGTTGAAAATGGTGAGCCCGTGTGTTGGAAGCAAAAACAGTGTGTTTATCACTTTCCATTGCATCCCACCCACGAATATAATTGAGGTTGACTAATCACAGTATATATATATATATATATATATATGCTTTCTTCACTGGCAAAAAAAAGTCCCCCTCTCCCACCATAAATGGTAGCAATCAAAAGACCAAACCCAATAACGCGAGAATGTTGCCCCTAATATTACGATTAGACTTTTAAAAAAAAATCAGCAATTGCCAATTACCACCATGAATCAGTTATAATCTTTATTCATTGATATATCTATGAGATGAAGCATGATTCTTTGCGTGATGTGGCAAGTAACTTGTTTCCAACTTTAGCTAACATCTACACAGAATCTCCAATACGAGTGTGGCCCCTATTCGGCTATTTAATATTTATATATATATTTTGGAAATATTTTCTTCCATCTACCATTCTATGATATGATCCTTTTCTTTTCTTTTTTAAAGAAAAAGAAAATAAAATTGGAACAAACAAATAAAGAAGTATTTATTGCCCCACCGGAGCCACCTCAATTATGTATTCCTTTCTAGGCAAAAACTATATGAAATTATTATATTGTCTTTTCACACACGCGACAATGAAATTGATATCCCCATTATTTTAACCATTTAATTAAATAACCAGCTAATATATATTTGAGCTTCAATTAAATTTTTTCACTTCTGTGGCCGTCGGTCTCGGACTGCTCATTCTATCACCTCTCTCTCGTTCATTCTGTTTCCGTCTCTCTCTTTCTTTCATATGAAAAAATATGACAACAAATAAACAAGTTCATATTATTGCACCATCAACAGATTCACAGCCAGGGCCCGAGTGTTGCATGTGTGGAGATTTTGGTCTCTCTAATGAGCTTTTCCACTGCAAGCTTTGCCAATTCAGATCTCAACACAGGTATATTATTTAATCAACTGCTTCTTCTTCTTGTGTTTCCTTGATCAATATTATCCATTAAATTTCTCCTTTCTCCGTTTCCTGCTTAATCAGGATACTCATGTAGTTTTCTTTTCTCTCTCTTTTTGTCTTTTTTATTTTTCAGATACTGTAGCAATCTGTACCCGAAAGCTGAAACATACGAAATATGCAATTGGTGTTTGAGCCAAAAGGATGACAAAGAAAAGTCACAGAATTCTTCAAATTCTTCATCAAGTAACAAAGCAAACAGCGAAGATAGCAAGAACAAGAGAAGGAATAGCAACAGTGAGAATCATGGAGGTCTAAAAGCAAGCCAAAGAAGCAATTCGCAATTACAAATAAAAAAGCCCATAAATAAACAAATATCACCAGAGAGATCGCCATCGACTCGAAAAAGGATCATAACAAATGGAGCTTTGGAAGAGAAGCTGAGGAGAACAAGGTCAGAGGAGATATCAAATAAAGAAATAACCAAACCAGTGTATAGGAATAAGGTCAGGAGATATAAGCTTTTGGATGAGGTTTCAAGCTAAAATGCATACCTATCTACTTGCATCATCATGCACACATGCTTATGGTTTTTGTTTTGTTGTGAGCATTTTTCATCCCAAAATATTTACATACAGTCAGGTTAAACTTACGCAATAACCTGACTGACACCATCGTGATTGTGACTCCTCCCTTCTAAACATAATGTCGCCACAAATTTGGAACAAAAGTTGAATATATTTGCAGTCTAATAATGTTTATTATGATATATATGGTTCCTAATTACATATTTTTGCGTCGACATGGAATCAGTCACTGGGAAAAGTCCCTTCAATTGACTAGAACGAACTTACCAGGACACATTTGTTGCCTGGTAAATAAATTAATTAATAAGTACTTTACGATGCTAGTTTGGCGCAACATGATTGTGTTAGCTAGGTCAAATCCTATATATATGCTTCTCAATCTGATGAGTGACATATCTGAGATTAGATTCCCGAGCCAGAATATTTAATTCTCGAATTAATATGGATGAAAATTATTTTAAGTTGGAAAATGTTGTATAAATATTCCTAGAGAAAGAGGTCAGAAAGCGGGATTTCTTTTCCAAAAGGTTTAATAAAATGGCAAGTATCAGAATAAGTTGACGAGCAAATGGCACGTTCTCATTCCCACCGAGGTTTATCGAAATCTTAAGTTTACACTCTTAGTTTCGTTTATTCCATATACCTTCTCTTAATCTAAACACTGTTTCTTTTATTTTAAAAGTTAAAAGGCAAAAGCGTTAAAACTCTATTTCTCTCGACTCACCACAATTGATTACCCTCCCATCTTCTTATTCTTTTTGTTCCCGAAAATTAAAGAAAACAAAAAAAAAATACTAAAGACGTGCATCTTAAAATAAAAAAAATGGTGTTAAATTAAGGGTAGTTATCCAAAATAAATGTAACCACGGGTATGAGTTTAGAATTTCGGTAAAACTCGGGTGGGAATATATCGTTTGCTCTAAGTTGACTTGGCAAAACATGTAAGCTGTACTTGACCCATCATCGACCCCTCACCGATTCCAAAACCATTCTTCACGGCATTGCATTTGCATAAAGATATTTTCTATGCAATTGTGGTCTATTTTAATTTGGCCTTTGCTGTTTCAGTACTGTATATAGCGTGTGCAGCTAGCTTTTCATGACTTTGTATTCAAACCAATTCCAATTTAAATATAATTTTAGACACACTCTTTCAACGCACGAGACCTGGTGAAAGGACGTTTTTAATTTAATTAATCGGCTAAATGACTTGAATTAGTTGAAGGGTATGAAGAAGCAGTGAGCTGTTAATTTATAAGATGTTTGTTATCATAATCATGAGCAGATGTAGAAGCTAGCTGTAAAAATAAGATCCAGACTTATTTTGTGGGGCATTCATAATTTAGTTTAATTGCAACTAGGATGCTACCATGTACCAAAAATAATAAAAGGACAAACCATTTTTCATTTTTATTTTTAGAAAAAAAAAATACTAATTAATTCATTCTCCCTTGCACTCCTATCTCCCTATTCTGTGAATTTCTATAAGGCTTATTTTTTGGGCTTCTACAAAATTTGACAGGCCCAAATTAATACTTGAGGCTCCACCATCTTATGTTTTTTTAGCAAATTTACTCTTCATTAAGACGGTTCTCCCTGTTTACGGGAGAAATATTAATATGCTATACAGCTTGCACTAAATCTTGTAAAGTAAAACAATCATATGATCAATAAATAAATAGAAAAATCAATAATAAGCATTAAATCATCCAAATAATATAAAAAAAAAATGATACAAGTTGATCAGCACTCCAAGTAGTAATATTTCAATTGCAAGTGATAATAGAAATTAGATTAGGTGACAACTGTAAACCGTAAAATCTACGGTTGATTCAAAAGGGACGGATCTTATGAAAAGCGAGTCACTTATAATTGGATGGACTTGCACAAAGAGAAAGCACGAACGTAAAGGCTTAGATGACACCAGTGTGGTGTTTGTCATCGGCACTCCGACACTCAAGTCAATACAGGTGAAAGTATTTTAGTGAGGGTTGAGAACAGGAAAAGGTTTACCGTAATGTGGTTAGGGTAAAACTAGCACAAAATGGCCGGTGCACAGCTTTGTGGTGGCTAAGGGTGATAAAGTTAGTCAGAACTAACTTTTATGGTGGGAAAAAAAAAAACAGTGATTCTTGAGAGCAAGAATTTAGGAGCTGTAGCTATGGGTGATTTTTGAATGAATAATGAGAGGCTAGGGAGTTCGAATGAGGAAGAAACTCTTGTTCTTTTCCTTTATCGGTTCAAGGGTACTAATTCATGTAAGATACTGGATCTTGAATGAAGGTGATAGGATTCTGATTTTTATTTTAGGACGCAAGTGGGCTAATAGGTTGACACCTGATTTAATGTATTCTTGTAGAAAGGCCACCTCATGGTGCAACCCATAATGTAAGTTGGCTCAGTTTGCAAGGTGGCCCTGCTTGTGGAGAGGCTCAACTCGTAAAATAGCCCAGCTCATGGAAAGGACTGACTTGTGGTGTGGTTCAACTCGTAGACTGGGTTGGCCCATATAATGTTCCTTCTTACAAATGAGTCATTGATGGTCAATCTACAAGATGGATTTAAGCGTAAATACAACTGAAATTGTGTTAAGAAACTAGGTCGTAGTATATTTATTTCGTTATTAGACCTGACAAACACCAATACGATTTTTGGCTCATACAACAGCCACTTTGAAGTGTTACCTGTTTCAATATCTCAAGTCCTAGATTTGATATAAACTTTACCAGTAAAAAAATAAATAAATAAAGGGATTTTGTTTAAAACCTTAAAATTCAAGCATGCTAAAGGAATATTGTGAATGGGTGAGCACGTGGCATGTGCGAGAGTTGCATCAAAGTAGAAATGACAGATTCTGAGGGCTAAGCTTTTTGTGGGCCAATTTCATTGTTACTTTTTAAATTTTAATCATCAATTAATTCGAGGCAATACATATCTCAATAACATGGGATTCCAAAATGACAATTTCCTTAGGGCCACAATAAACTTTTCTTGAGCATTCCTAATTTATACTCTGCATCATGTGCTTCTTCTAAAATATTCTACATTGCTTTTGTTTATTTCTATCAAACATACACAAGTTCCACATGAAAACACTGTAAATTTTATATTTAAACTTGAATTTAATGTCTTCACATACGCATAAAAATCAAACTAACAAATTAATATATTCAATTAGTTATGATATTTACTATTATTAAATGAAAAAAAAATAAAAAATAACTCCATTGCAATTTGATACTTTTCGTATCTCTCTAAATACATCCATGCATGGTCCAACAACTTTGTTACCCATGTGCCATATCTCCTTCATAATTCTTGCAAAATAAAATATATAAGTAAATATATGATTTATAATTAGCATCCACCATCCAATAAAAGTAGATAAACAAGAATAATGATGGGGCACCTAAGCACCTTTGCATCCCATCATATATAATCTTTTGGCTTTTACTTTTTAAAATGTTTCTCCCGTATCACTTGGTTCATGAACGTAAACACGTCGTTTTATTTGAATCTAATTAGCCATTCAACTGAAATAATCACAACCATGATTGTGTTCCTTTATGCCACCATTTGATGGATCTTATTATTAGAAACATTATATATAAAAAAGGTTTCCAACTTGAAAGCTTGCGAAACTAGATCACATATTCAAAATTATTTTAACATGATGATCTGGGTGAATCCAGTCCAATTTCTTTGATTTCACCCCACCTCAAAATAATATTAACAAATACCCCCTAATAACCATAATCAAACTCACAATTTAATTTATACGTTTTGTCTGCGGAGTTGTGTTATGGGTATCCATATGATTAGCCGGATATCATCATGTTGATACAGAAATTTGCACCAACCAACGAGATCCGATCGACCTTGTCGGGATCGAAACTGATGTGGGTGTGATTAAAGATAATCAGCGATGAAGGTATAAAAATGCAATAAAGTAAAAGACAATGAGAGTTTTTAAAGTGGTTCGGCGAGGTAAACTTTGAAGCCTATGTCCACTGTTTTGTATTTGCGGTGAGAGCTTACAATGCAAATTCTATGAAAATTTTGTAACCCCTTTTTCATAATTTGAGGGGGTTTATATACAAGATTTGTAGGAAGAAAAGAGCAAAAACAAAGGGATTACAATTTATCTGAAATGTAATTCCAATATTCTCGCGATTGGGCGCTGAGATTGCTGTTGATCTAATCTTTTTCGCAATATCTGGGATTTAAAATAATCTGGAAATTGATTGAATGATTACTCAAGTTATTCGTGACTAGCTTTTGCTAGGTCGAGCCACAGCTCGACGAGCTTATGCTCGGTTGATCAAACATCGTTGTCGAGCTGGTTCTAGGTTGAGCTATATCCTCACGATAGCCCGAGCTTGGCAGAAAAATCACACACAACATCTACCCCTAGTGTTCGATACTCATTTCGGGCTTCGAAGACTGTTGCTCGATTTGATGTCAAGTTAGGTCTTATTAGCAGGCCTCCGAGTACAGGTTCAATTGAGCTTTAGGGGTCGACCTTATATCTGGCCGACGTACTCCACACTTGGGTCTTTATTTCCTGCAATGCCTGGCAAAACTCAGAATATAAAAAGTTAGGGCAAACATGTAATTTCCGTGTCGTCGTGTCGCATTAAATGTGGCAGCCTTTGTCAGTCACGTTTTGTCGCGTGTGGGAGACTACAGCTATCCATGAGCGAGGCTGAAGTGACTTGTGACAACGGTTATCAGTGTAACAGTCTGACGGTTCGTTGCCCTTAGCGGATGGTCGACACGTGGCCACGTCTAAAGGCTAAAATTGCTCGACGAATGAAGGGTCGAGATTCAATGTAACTCGACAGCTACGATTAGATCCCGCCTTTTCGTCTCCCATGCAAGCTTTTCCATCTGCATAGGCTTAATAAAGGGCAAGACCAGACGTACTACCTTTCCAAGGCGATAAAGGTATGTTTCAACGGGCTGGTCGACGTCTCCAAGAAGGTCCTGCACTAGAATTCTCAATTTTCCTTCTACGAGACCCGGGAGACCGGCACTTTTGCTTCGAACGTGAGTAAGACATTGATTCCCCGCATGCACAAGGGTTGCTTTCGAGCATTGTATCCGAGCTAACTCAGTTGTTTTGTTTTGCAGTTAACGTCGACCATAACTATCTTCTAGCCAGGAGCTTGCAAAGGCTGCAATGTTTTTGCTACCTTCCC